CCCATCCCCCACCCCCTCCCCTCTAGAACCCTCAGTTTGTTTTTCAGAGTCCATCGTCTCTCATGGTTCATCTCCCCCTCCAGTTTCCCCCCCTTCATCCTTCCCGCCCTGCTATCTTCTTTTTTTTTCTTAACATATGTTGCATTATTTGTTTCAGAGGTACAGGTCTGTGATTCAACAGTCTTGCACAATTCACAGTGCTCACCATAGCACATACCCTCCCCAATGTCTATCACCCAGCCACCCCGTCCCTCCCACCCCCCACCACTCCAGCAACCCTCAGTTTGTTTCCTGAGATTAAGAATTCCTCATATCAGTGAGGTCATGTGATACATGTCTTACTCTTCTTAAAGCACTGTTTTCATCATTTCACCCTTCAACCCAAAATCTTTTAGGAACTCTCTTCTGACTCCCAAATGCCACGTTCCTCAGTTTGGCATTTATAATCTCCCAGGGTCTGGCTGCTACATATCTTTCCAGGCATTAACTACCTGTTCTTGTTCCATGTGCCCCTAATCTGCAGTGCTCCCCATCACTGAATACATTGTGTGTTTTCGTTATAATGCCTTTGCTCTATTTGTATGTTCTTCCCCATCACCATTTCTCTCCTCCTAAGTCTGATCTCAGATGATGAGCCAGAGATTGCTAGTTATCTCTAATATCTGTTCTCTTTTTCTTTCATATTAGAACTACTGATTTTTAACTAGGCACATCACTACTCAATAGAAATGACACGTTTCAACCTTACTTATAGTTAAGTTCTGACCAATAAGGGGCAAGTGTAGGGATGTATACAAGTTCTGAAGGTTGTTTTTTTTTTTTAAGATTTATTCATTTATTTTAGAGAGACAGAGAGAAAGAGTGAGTGGGGGGAGGGCAGAGGGAGAGAGAATCTTCAAGCAGACTCCTCGCTGAGCATGGAATCTGATGGGGGGCTTAATCCCAAGACCAGTGAGATCATGACCTGAGCTGAAACCAAGAGTCAGATGCTTAACTGACTGAGCCACCCAGATGCCCCTGCAAGTGTTCTTAAATAAGACGGGTGTGTCCTTTTCTACCCCCATCTCTTTTCTGCTGGCTGGAAATAAGGATGTGATGGCTGAAGCCTGAGCAGCCATTATGGATCATAAGGTAGAAGCTGCATGCTCAGGATGGTAAAGCCACATGATAAAGACAGCCTGTGTCTGTGCTGATTGGAGAGCCATCGTATCAACCCTGAACTGTCTATACTTACATAAGAGAAATCATTTTATTTTGTGTGAGCTACTGCTATTTGGGGTTTTTAACTGCTACAGAAACCAACCCCTCTATTAAAATACATTGTTTAGGATAATTTTCTGGTGGCCAAAGATAGCAATCCATTCAAAATCTAAGCAAAATGGGGCAATTCTTTTAAGAATACAAGGATTTGTCACAGAACCTATGGGTGGGGATGAAGGAAGCCTCAGGAACAGAGTGGAATCTGGGACTCTGCGGAAGCCACAAAGTCCCCTCATTGTGTCTCACCCCTCCTTCTCTTCTCTCTCACTGCAGATTATTTATGCACCTGGCAGAGCGAAGCAATAACTAACTATATGTTTAACAGATGGCAATTTGGGTATCAGTGAGATAATATGGATCTGAAGCCAATTACCAAACTTTTCCTTTACGTATGTAGCTTGTTAAAGTGACTCTTTTGAAGAGAACCATACTCTTCAGAGTCTAAGCTCTTCTGTTAACCTTTTTCTCTAAGCTCTCCAATTTTTTGCAGTTGTTTATTCCAACATCAGAAAAGGGGCCTGAAATGCAGAGTTGTCCATAACTGACCTAATAAAAGACATTTCAGAGACAGTTCTGTTTTTGTACCGGAGTTTCCAAAGCAAATTTTTATGGGAATGCCAACACTGGCTCAGAAATACTTATTTTGCTAGACAAGGAAATGATAGATTATTTTTGGTTTGTTTTTCCCTGTAACCAGCGTTTTTTTCCTTCTTTTGTTTTTGTTTTGTTTTTTGCATTTTGCATTGTTCTTATTTACTGTCTGGGTTCCTGTGTTTACCTAGTTTTTTGCCCTTCAGGATTTCTTACGTTCTTGTCAGCTTATTGAAATGTTTGATAAGATGTTTTATCTATTTTACCTAGCACTTTGAGTTGCTTTTGGTGGGACAACTAGCCATTCTCTAGTCTGTCATCCTACTGGACATGAAGTCCAGTTTGCTTGTTAGAGTTTTAACTCCATTTTGTTTGTAAGATATTACCCTGTACTGAAGACCCAGGCCCTAACTTTGGTAGCCCAAGTTCCCCATCTGTAAAGAGGAAGACTACCCTTCTACCTATGTCAAATTGTTCTCTGTAAAAGAGTCATGAGATAATTAGCATGAAGTCAGTTTGAAACTGGAAAGTACCCTGTAAATTTTCTGGACTTTGTAAACGAAAGAGGCAAGCAAGTAATAAAAAATCATTACTAAGGATAACAACCCTAGAATGACTTGTTCAATTTAAAATTTCTACATATTTGCAATCATCTTCATTTTCTGGCATCAGGTATGGATGGGAAAGTCTTAAGATTTCTTAAAAAAATACAATATTATTTACATGTTGTATTTGACATTAATTGTATAATTTATTGTTTAATGAAAGAAAAAGAAGGCAAATTTAAGCACACCACAAAATCTATCATCACATTTTTTAAAGTTTGTGAAGGGTCTGTCCCTTTAATATATGGGTGAGCAATCTAACCTAAGATGCTTACAACACTTTATACACTTTGCAGGCTGAGATTCTGAGTGTCTCAAACTTTGTAATATATTTTGGTCTCTGCTGCAAGGACGATGAAATGTTATTATAGGTAACTACTCAGATCGCTCTTCTCATTCTCAAACAGTGCTCACAGGTTAAGTATGTGAGAGGAAACACCTCTAAGTACATTCCAAAGAGCCTCTTGGATGCTAGGTGATTTGCAAATGGACCAGCCTGGGACTCAGGCATAAGGTTACTGCTTACTATTTCCTGTAGACGCTCCATGTCTTAACTCCTACATAGAACATATCATAGGGCCTGTCCTCTAAACATTTATTTATTTTTTTAAGATTTTATTTATTTGACAGAGAGAGAGAGAGCAAGCAGGGAGAGTGGCAGGCAGAGGGAGAGGGAGAAGCAGGCTCCCCACTGAGCAGAGAGCTTGATGCAGGGCTTGATCCCAGGACCCCGGGATCATGACCTGAGCCGAAGGCAGACGCTTAACTAACTAAGCCACCAAAGTGCCCATCCTCTAAACATTTATATACCAAGACAGCACATCTGCACATAAGTCATTTACTTAACTGCATATATTGAGCCAGTCCTACTACATGTCAGGTCTTATGCTTGTTCTCAAGAAGCTCATAGTTATTAGGAAAATAGACAAAACTACAATTATCATTCTATGTGATAAGTGCTCGAAAGAGACAAGGTCCTATGGGAGCACAGTTAAGAGCACCTAACCCATACTGGGGTGGGATAGGGTTGGGTGGCAAGCCAACAGAAAAGGGTTCACAACAGAATTGATGCTTAGTCTGAATAGTGAAGGATAAGCAGGAATTAGTTAGGTAAGGAAAAGGAGGAGGGTCAGGACTTAAGAAAAAGGAGTAGCATATGTAAACATGACATGTATGAGATAGTATGACAAGACTGGAGAACCCAAGTAGTTTGCTGCATGCTGAGTTTATTTATTCCACCTAGTTACTGTTATGCCTGTCTCCCTTGCTATGTTCCAGTTCTTGGGGTGGAGATTGTGTGTAATGGTTTCTTTGTCCCCATGTAGGCACAGAGATGGAGCACAGCAAACGATGAATAATATTCATTTAGGACATGACATGAATGACAGGGGGTAAGGGAGAATGTTAGGAGTCCATTAATGGAGGAAGTTTATTACCTAGTGACAGTGAATAGGAAATGGGATAGATTTAAGAATTACTTGGGAATTAGAATGGATAAGACTTGCTATATTGGCAATGGGGTATAAAAGAGTAAATAATGACTTTCCAGATTTCTGTTTGGATTATAGGTAGACAATAACAGTAATAATGTTATTAGTAGTAACAGCTGATATTCATTAGGCAGTCTGCATCATACAGTACACTGTTTTACATGTATTAGACCATTTAATCTCTCAACGCCTCAGTGAGGAAGATAGGCTTTTTATTCCTACTTACCGATGAGAAAATTGGGACTATTAGAGATCAACTTGCCCAAAGTCACCCAGCTAGCAACAGCGATTTCAATCCCAAGAATTCTGATTTCTGTAGTCATACACATAATCTACTCTTCTTCACTGCCTCCAACAAATGTGATCAATATTTAGAATGATGATCCTATTCAATGTCACATAAATTGCATGTCTTTTACTAAACATAGAGACGCATACGGTGATCGCCTCTTTTTGATCCGATTTTGGGAGCTCGGTCCTGTATTTTCCACTTTTCCTACCTGGAGAACCTAAAGTGGGGTGGAAGTCTGATAAAAAAAAAAAAAGTTGACACAAAAGATGAGAGAGGGCAGGTACAGAAGGACTTTCTCGAATGCTCCAGCCGCTGCTCACATGATGGAATCTGGTTCTATCAGGCTTCCTCTGCTCCCATCCCCAGTCGCACACGCACGCACACGTTGTGACATATATGGACGCCAAGTTTCAAGTGGTTCTAGCAGTCCTCAACTCACATCGAAGGTTCATTTTCCAACTCCTGGACACTCCACCACGAAGTTAACTCGAAGCCGCCTGTCGAGCCCAGGGAAACACCGCCCAGCGAGGCGAGTGCTCGTTCCCAGGGCAACAGCCTGCGGAGACGCCTGGGGCACGCGCCCCGGAACCTGCGAACAGTCCCGCCTGACGCCAGGGGGCGCGGGAGCGCGTCGGCTCCTCCCGCCCCACGCCGGCCCCACGCCAGCCCCGCCCCCGCCCCCGCCCGCCCCCCCCCCCCCCCCCCCCCCCCCATCGGGCCAGGCCGCTCCTGGCTCCCGGCCCCGCTTCCGGCGCAGGCGCAGTCCCGCGCTCCCTTGGCGGCTCTCAGCGCAGTGCGCCCACCGCGGCTGAGTGTAGCGGCGTCGGCCGGGCGTCCTTTTCCTCTTCTCGCTGCTTCAGGGCGCGCTCCGTACAGCGCCGAGAGCGCCCCTGGGCGCGGGCAGTGGCCGCGGTGATTTCGTCAGGTGAGTGCAGCCGCGGGAGGGAGAGGCCCCGGGCGCGGAGCACCGCCCCCCTCGGCGCTCGCGCGCCCGCTTCCCTCCCGCGAGCCGGCCTGGAGGGGCAGCCGTGGCAGGTGCAGGTGCCGCGCGCGGGGACCCGGCCCAGCAGCCCCGGCCCAGCAGCCCCGGCCCAGCAGGCGCGCTCCCTCGGCTTGGCACGCGGGCTCTAGGACCTCCGGCAGAGGCGGCGGCAGGGCTCGGCGCCTCGGAGCGTCCGGGGCCGCTGGGGCGTCGGGCGGCTGCGGCTCCTCCCCCGCCCCCCGGAGGCCGGCGCGTTACTCATTAACTGCGCGATCCCGAGGGCCCGCGGCTGTGAACCCGAATCCCGGTTACCTGTCGGCGGGGCGCGCGCGCGACTCAGAGCAGGGGGCCCGCGGCAGCGGGGGTGGGGGGGGGCTGGTTCTAAGAGAGTTCCCGAACAAGTGTGGAGCCCGGCGCTGCGCGGGATCTGGAGTGGGGTGAAGCAGTAGGCTTAGACCTGGAGTCTTAGTAAAGGACAAGCGAGGCTCCGTGCTGAGGCGTAGAGGTCACCCTTGGCAGGGTTTCGGCGAAACTTGCGGGGCCCGAGCAAGCTCTAGGAGTCGCGCCTTAGGTGGCCGCGCATTTCGGCCTGACTTTTGTTTCGGGGAGTTGAGACGAGCTGCGCGGACGTAATTGTAATTACACTGCCCTTCCACCGTTGACAACTCTCTCCGACCGCCCGGGGACCAGCCAGCTCTAATGGACTCTGGAAGTGATGATGTTAGGTGGAATCTGCAGCACGTGAAGAGTTGCCAGTTGTTATGGCATTAAGAAAACATCTGTAATGGCTAAAGGGTAAGGTCTTGAAAATTAAGAATGCTGAGTTAATACTGACCCCTAAGAAGCAATTTAGTTTCGTGGAAACACAGCATATTCCGAGGCTACCTGTTTCACACTCCTGTTTCCCCCTCCAACTCTCTCCTTTCAGTGTAGGGAAAAAAGCCGTGTAGTCTTTTGCCATGGAATGATTACATAATTGGAGGAGACCGATAAGCGGATTAAAACAAAACTGTTCTTTGTAAATCGATTGAAAGACCCAGTTTCTGTTCATTATCCTCATTCTTATTTTGTTGTTCATACGGTGTCTTTAAAAAAACGGTGAATGACAAATCAAGGAGAAAAGAGGCAGAATAGATTTGTAGACTGATCATAGTAAATATTTGATACTGTTAAATATTCCACCAATTTTATGGGGCCTTGTTCTGTTAACATTTGTTATTTATTTACTAGTCCTGTGCATTTTGATGGAACTTTTCATGTTTGGACAGACATTGAATCCCAGCTATGGTTTATGTGATCTAGTCCTAAAGTCCTTGTGGAATTCACAGAAGTTAGTTTAGCGGTTCTACAATTTTACAACAACGGTGTATTTCTTATGGTGTGTGTGTGTGTGTGTATAAACAAATATATGTGTGTGTATATGTATAACAGTAAAGTTATATACTAGTCCATACATTTATTAACCAAAGTGGACACATTAATATAACTCTTACTTGTGTGGCAAACAATTCAACTGTAGTATTGAATACCTCTCACCTTTTGCTAGGATGGATATTTGCTGTTTGGCCACTTGTGGGTTTTCTAATTAGATACACTTTTACTTTTTGAATTAGTATAGTTATGCATATGCTTCCGTTAGTATATTTTTCCTCTGATTTTCTCTAAACCCTCAATTCCACACAACACATACACAGACATTCCACAAATAATTTTTACAATGGAAAGTTTCTTAGAAATCTAGGTCCCCATCAATTCTTAATATGGCAGAGCAAAAACTTGTAGGTGACAGTGGTTTTGCATGTATTATTGTAGTTAGTGCACCTTTTATTTTCTTTCCTGAGCAGGACTGACTGAACCAATTAGTTACCTGGCGATATGAAAAATTATTAATAGCTTTTAAAGTTTTAGCTCCATTACTTAACTGTGCACGTGACCCTGAGTACATCTAAGCTCTGAGAGCTTATTTTCTCCATTTGTGAGTGGATAGAGTATTAGGTCAAACCATGTGACTGCCAGTTTTCGACTGTTTTTAACATGGTTCAAACTAATACGAACATCATGATGGTGGGATGAGAATTAAATGAGATACTCCATGTGAGATGTGAGGGGTGGGGGAAATGAACAAATATTAGCTTGGTAGTGGGCCATACACTGTGTTGCTCTAGATACTTTGATTCCTTTGGTCCTCAGCACATTCCTGGGATATAGGTGGTATTACCACAATTTACAGATCAGGAAGTTGAGGCTCAGAAGGTAAAATAACTTTCCTCTGGTTACTTAGTTGTCAGTGGTCATATGGATGATTAATGGCAGAGCCAAGCCAGGATTGAACACTGAGTGGCTCCCCAAAATTGAACTCCTCACACGCTTGATCCTTCCATTCTTTTCTACATCTTCTGTAAAAGATATTATAATTTTGTAATTATAAGGAGACAGCAGATGAAACGTGTTATTGTCATTTGTATTTCTGGTTAAAAAGTGTCCAGGTTTTCTGGTGACGGTGATACCATCACTGCTACTCCTACTTTTGAGCTTACAGCTTACCACACGTCAGGTTCTGCTCTAAGCGCTACACCAAGTCATTTACTTCAGCAGTGTCTTAAGAGTTAGCTAATGCTTTATCCCATTTTATAGTTGAGAAGATTGAGACACTGAGAGGTTATGTAGCTTTGCTTTAAGATCGTACAGCTAATTAAGCGACAGACTAGAAAAGTCAGGCAGTTTGTCTTTAATGTCCATGCTCTTCACCACTATGCTCTCCTACTTCGTGTGTAGGTTGTAATGCTGAATTGTTTTTAATTAAGCTTTTATGAGATACTTAATATTAGTATAATAAGTAATTCTTTACGTGTCACCAGAGATTTTTAAATCAAATATTCATTGAGCATCTACTCTGCAAGTCACAGTTGGGGGGGGCGGTTAGAGGAAAGTATTCATGGAGTGTGGAAGGCAGGCCTTATAATCATTCCTGTATCTTTTATAAGGTTCTCAAAATTTAGAAGGCACGTGTCACATATATCTGTTGTTGTAATTTTAATGCATGCCAAATAAGGCAAAGCGTTAGAATAGTTGGAGAGTGGGGAGGAAGGCTGAGTCATGGGTAGAGGTACTGTGTGTTGAGGTAATGAGCGAAAACTTTCAGGATATTCTGAGGGAGTACACTTTTTCAAGCGTAAGGCTTTGTCTTAGAGTTTTGGTTAAGGTGTAGTTCATTAAAGGGTAGTAGGTTACTAAATTAATTACTTAAACACACTTGGATATTTAATTTAATCAATTAATTTATTTTTTAAAGATTTTATTTATTTGACAGAGAGAGACACAGCAAGAGAGGGAACACAAGCAGGGGGAGAGGGAGAAGTGGGAGAGAGAGAAGGCTTCCCGCTGAGCAGGGAGCCCGGTGCGGGGCTCGATCCCAGGACCCCGGGATCACGACCCGAGCCGAAGGCAGACGCTTAATGACTGAGCCACCCAGATGCCCCGAAACACACTTGGATATTTTTTTAAAAATAAAATATCTGAGCTTTTGAAAACTCCTTGGTAGCTAATTCCTCCTTTTCTCTGCTGTTCTCCCTGGCTTTGCCAGGTAGTAGTTTTGTTTTTTGTTTTTTGTTTTTTTTTTATTTCTCTCTTTTATGCTTCCAAAGTACCGAGTACATCCCTCACCTTTGGTATTTATTAGTTTTGGTATTCATATTGCCTTGTAAATGCTGACAGTGAGTTCTCCTCCTCTAGTGTACATATGCTTTGAAGGCAGGGTGTAAGTCCATCATACCTCCCCCCCCCATTTTATAGCTTTAGCACTGGGCCTGGAACCCATAGGTACTGGGCTGTGTTTGGTGATGGGTGTCAGTGGAAGAATGTTAGGATGTATTGAAATTGATCTAGCAGTAGTAATGGAACGGTATTGAGTTAGAATTGCAGGAACTAAGGGAAGGAGGAGAGGGATATACTTCCAGCAGCCAACATTAACTTGCCATCTCTGTTTTTTCCCTTCTGTTTTCCCTTTCAGTTTACAACTAAATGAGGTAGTTTCATAAGCTTAAATTCTACCTAGTCATGGTTAGAAAAAAGTGAAAAAGTAATCTTGATTTATCTTAGAATATTGGCAACAGAAAATTAGATAGCTGTAGCCATTAGCTGAGATTACTTAGATCAGAGGAAAAGAATGGAAGATTTCGAAGTAGTTCAAGTTTGTGGGGGATTTGTTTCTTGTAGTTAAGAACAGGGTTGTAAACATAAGCATAACGGAAGTTGACAGAATTCTACATAAATGAATTGACAATCTGATACAAAGAAACTCTGCAAGAATGTGAGAGTACCTTAGAAGTTTAAAAGAGCATACAGATGATAGCTTAGAGCAAGTTAAATAAGTGAATTGTAATTGGATGTGTCTAGATAATAGTACTGAGTATTTGTTGGGAGCACCTAGGTTGACAGATCAGGGTAAAATATAAAAAAACAACCAAAATAAGTTCAAAAAACAATAAGTAAAAGTGCATTAATTTGCTGTTAGGAAGAGAATTGTATTTGAACTCTATACCTCAGAAAAAAATCTTGTTTTCCCTTTTCTTTTCTTTTAAGTCAGATAAATAAGGATCCCTTCTGGTTATAAGACAGACCCCTTAGATTTTCACTACTGTGTATTTCGTCTTAGAGTTTTACAGATAGCACACGTTTGTATTGTGCTTTGCAGTCTGCGTGACATTTTTACACTGATAGGTAAGTCATTTGATTTTGTCAGATACGGGCAGGGCAGGTAATACCACCCATTATAGATGCTGAAACTGAGACCCAGAGAGATTAAGTGACTTGTGCATGTTTACACAGCTGGCTAATGAGAAGACCTGAGCTAGAAAGGTTTTCTGAAAATACTTTAATAAAATGCTCCAGATTCTCCAAACTTTTTAAAAAGTCAGTTTCTCTAGTCTTGATATTCTCTCAAG